CGTCATCTAGCGGCCTCATATCTATGATCTCCAGCTTTGTATCTTCCATCGACCATCTTCCTGTCCTCGGTACTGCTTGTGTCAAGCCACTTGATAAGCTCTCTGCCAAATGCTTTCTTCAGGGCCGCATTGGCAGCGGACGGATCCGCGTCGTTGAGATACTCCTTCAGGGTCCGAGCAAGCAAGCGCTCGATGCGCGCGGAAGCCTTCGCTTGCCTCTTGGACCCTTCCGGGTGGCAGACTCGAAGGCGATTCCAACGACGGAGCCAGTCATAGTCCGAAAGGCACGATCCCAGAAACTCCGAGGGAGGCGCCAAGGCCAGAACTTCGGCGACACCCTTACCGTCTGACACCACCGCTATCCTCGCGATGCAACCAGCGATGGGCGACAACCTCCCATTCGGACCGATGAACGCCGCCAGCGCCTCCCAACCCCCAACGTCAAGCAAGCGTAGACCTGTAATTGCCTTCATTGAAAAAAGTAAAAAATATGTACTTGACTGGCCCTCCACGTTATGTCTCCCGTGGTGAAATGTGTTCTGTGGCGTGTCACTGGGCAAGGTCCACGATGCAGAATCGACACCGAGGGCTCCTCGTATGACGCAGGCAGCACCACAACAGCAGCGGACCAGTTCGACACAACAATGGCGATAGCTGCTGGACTGGTTGCCGCTTAACTCGCGCGAGCACCAGGCCTGGGGGGGTAAGGTAGCGAAGTGCCGCCTCCCACCGTTCACCGCCAGTTTGAGCAGTGGGCGGATGACGTGGCGATGGCTGTCGGCGAGCAGCGTCACTGAGTTGTCAACAGGGTTAGCAGCCATCGTGCATGTCAGTGGCTCAGGAGGTCAATCCCAAAAAAAGGGTTGTCGAGGTGCGGGGGCTGGGACCTAATAGCATGAGCTCAGTTAGTTATGACGGCTCAACAGCTCTCCCAGCTTATGCTGTCCGGTTCTCTGACCAACCATGGTGGTGGTCGCTGCGTGGGTTGCGGTAGAGTGACCTGAGCGTTCGCTGTGGCTGTAGCCTCTCACCTTTCGGGGCAGGTGCACCGAGTAGCTTCACATCCGCATTCCTTGACTAGCCCCTTGGGCTGCATGAACAAGTCGCGCAGAACTCGAGTTTCGGGCCTCACGGGCGGTGCTATCAGCCTGCACTGCACCTTGTCACGCCACGCTAGTCTGCCGTAGCGTCCGTATGGGCGCAATCGCATATCCCCAACGCCCCTACTACACTTTCTGCAAACAGGTTGCGCGTTACCGCAGCCGTCTTCACCAACGTTGCTCTAGCTACGATGTAGAGAGTTGGGTGGTGTATGCACACAAGGATGCCCTTGTGTGCATAGACCACCCCCTGCCCTTGGAACGCTCTAGGGCCCACATAATCCATGCTTACTCTGCTCATGAAGAACGGTTGCTCCGGCGTGCCTTCGTGTGTCCGCGGCAGGTTACGCAAGACGAGATTGCGGGCACAGATGGCGCACTCTTGGACGAAGTGCTGTGCGAACTCCTTGGACCGTGGCCACCAGAACAGTCCGGACATGTTCCTGTGGGTCTCGGTGACGCTTTGATGTCCGCCGCGCTCTCCCATATGGTACCCAGCTGTCAGCTTAGACCTGAGTCGAGTCGGGACGTACAACTTTTTGGTCTTGCGGTGTTCATATAGGCCGTCTTCTCTTTTGAGGAGCTTTTGCAACTCATCTACGGGGACGTCGTCGTCCTTGACAAGGAACTCGTTACGTGACGGTTGCTGGAATAGGTTCTGGCTCACCTCGGCGAAATGGACTGCAAACGGTCGATGACCGATGCGCATAGCATCGAGATCCCGATCATGGTCCTCGTCGTCCTGGAGCCTAGATACGGCATCGGCGACGTAGTTGTTATCTCCTGGGATGTAACTGAACTTTAAGTCGTATTGCTGGAGGAACAGAGCTCATCGACCACCTTGCCTGTGTCAGCCTTCGCTAGGGAAGTGAGACTGCGGAGGTCGGTAAGGACCAGGGTGGGTTTTAGCCGTATGTAAGGGTCCCACTTGGTCACAAAGTACTTGACCGCCCACAATTCTCTTTCTCTCGCGTCCCAATTGCGTTGAGCTTGGGTGAGCTTCTTGCTACCGTACTCGATCACTTCCAGCCTGCCATCGTTGACCCAATATCGCTCCTACTGCGTACTGACTGGCGTCGGTATTTAGTGCAAGCTGCGCTTCCGGTGGGGAGCTACCGAGTAGTCAGCATTGACGAGGTCCTCGATTACCTGTCGCATTGCTACTTCGTGGAGTCACGTCACGCGAAGTGACTGTGCTCAACGCCTCCACCTTTCCAAACTGGGCTTGATGCCGCACTTCCCTACGACATGACCAAGTAGTGGAATTTCCTAGCGGAGCCACTCACATTTGGGTAATCCACCCAGCCCGAATTCAACTCAACTGGCGGTATCGGCAGGGATCTGTCGGGCTGTCTGAGGTTACGGCGTGATGTGCCAATGCGTGATGTGCCACACGTTGGGCGTGCCTTTCGCACCACGCCCAACGTGTGTGGCCTCCATTGTGATTCACATCCTTTCTTTTCTCTTTACGGACTCCTCCAACCAACAACTTCTATGCTATCAGACTCTACTTCTGTCCCTGGTTTGTTACCACTTCGCTCTGCCTGTCGGTAACACTCCACGGAGCAATACCACCCGAAGCCACCCTCAAGGAGGAGGGCCGCGAGCAGCAGCATGCAGTGAGAGGCAACGAAGCGGGCCGAAGAGAGGCCCACGCGAGTCGGCGGTTCAAGTCCGCCCAGGCAAGCGGGATGGCGTGAGACGTAACGAAGTTATTTTTGCACGAACAAAAAAAAACAGAACCGCTAAACTTAACGTCCCTCATCACTTTTTATTCGTTGTTCTGCGATGAAAAGATGTTAACACGCTCCTGTATTCGTCGAGCGATCTAATATTGTAGTCGCGGCATACATATGTGCAGGACTTCGGGGAGTAGCCTGGTGTTTGAAATAAAGAGTAGTTCCGTTTCATTTCGGCAGCAGTGGTAAAGAAGTCAGTAACGTCGCCCCAGATCACGTCCTCCTCCGACGGGCCCACCGCCTCGGCGCTGAATCGACCTTCGATGCATCGACAGCCGTCCTTGGGTAACTGACAAGCGTTGTAAACGCCGGAACACGGAAAGACTGGAAGCTGCCAACCAAAGGGTAATCCTAGTGCACTGTATAAACGTTGCTGGACGATGCCGTATATGTCGGAACCTAGCCACTCGGCGGCGGCCCTTCCACGGGCTAAGTGGTAGAGATAGTTCGGCTTTATGTCTCCGTGGTCCGCGAGGAGACAACGGGCGGGTTTCAGGTGACGGATGACCGCCTCCCAGACCCTCGGGAAGTCGTGCTTGAACGGATGATTGAAGTAGTGACAACTCAGGTCCTCGCCGCGGTCGTCAACGCAAACCACCTTGCCGCCCCACATACAGCTGGACCAGTCCAACGTCTTCCAGCCATCCGCCGTGGCGTCTACCATTGACGCGTTCTTGTTGTTATCGTATATGCCCTTACAAGTGTCAGAGGGTATTCTCAGCCACGCCAAGTCATGTGCAGACATTGTTATGTTGCCAGACTTGCGCTCGGTCGCCACGGGTTTGCAGTTCACGACCAAATCCGACTCCGACTGGGCCTTACAATCGCAAGACACAGCATACTTGTACCGCTCGGCATCTGACAAGCGAGAGAATTGCGCATCGCACAATGACGGTGTGTAGCTGTTCGTCGTGGCCTCAGTAATCGGATTATGGTGTTTCATCGA